TCGTTTATTAACCCAAGAACTATGTGTTTTACAACAAAAAGTGGTAAGGTAAGAATCAAAGATGATCTTTTCTTTTTATATCAGGGGGAAGGGACCACCATATGCTCGCTCTTTCTCGACCTTTTCTTTATTAGCCCAACCCATATCCGCCAAGGATCCTACTTTATTTACTTTTGATACTTGTGTCTTGGACTTTTGGAAATTGTATATTGGTTTATTTCTCGTTATTCTCAGAGGCCAAATAAAGGTTTCCGTATGTTTACTCCAAGAAAGGGCGTGATACCTCAAATAATTCACAAGGAATTAGTAGAGGACAATGTGGCCAACTCTTCTTGATAGTCAGCTCACTGTCCTCTATTATTTGTTGTGATGACTATAGAAAAGAAAAGGAAAAGTGTTGTGAATCGAGGGACTCACTAGCCGCACAATCACAAGCGTCCATCTTTAAGATAAGCATTTACAACTAAAGATTCCTATCCAATGGATAAAGAGAAATTTTAATAAAAATATTTTAAATTTTTATTTTATTGTTTATATTCATCATATAGTGTCGATCATGAATCACTACAAATTTGGATCCAAAATCCATATAAATAATGGGTGTTCAAGAGATCCCGCTTGAAAATAATATGAGTCAAGGAACCCATAAAACTGGGTCCTAAAAAAAATGTGGTTGTCTCCCAATAAGACAGTAATTTCTTTCAACTAGATCCATTATGGTTGATAGAATAAAACATTACCAACAACGCTGCACTTTTCTACTCGGACCCACTTGAAAGATAGCAATATTTAACCAAATTCCGACATTTTTTTTTCAAAAATACCCACTCTTGTTTTCTAGGTTCTACATCTTGAGAAGAGCTTGAGAGCTTACTACACGTAATATACATATAGCATGTTACATGCAATCTCAACCATCCATACTGAATAACTGAGGTTGAGATCCGGCAGTGTTGACAATTATAGAAACCAGATATTGAGTTTCCTATAACTGTCAACAGGCAGGTTTCGAATTTGGGGAGAAATGAAATACTTGAGTACAAAAGCATTGATCACTGCCATCCTCTTCATTGTATGAAAGGTTGATATCACATATAATATGCAATTTACATACTGCATGTGAATATGTGATAGTGTCTAGTATTTAAACCCAACATCGACCCTATATATTCATGCACGACATCGTGCGATGAGTTATCCTAGCCCTCGAGGCTATCACTGTTTTAGCAAAAGATTTTAGTCCACTCCACTACCCAAGGATAAGCACGGACGGTGGATCTTGGGCTTGTGTATGCATTACTTTGTGTAATGTCTCCCATCCCATATCATAAGGCATTCATCCTTCACAAATTTCCAAAAGTCCATATTATGCAGTTACCAAAGGATTACATGTAGTATACTATTCATTTGATACATGTAATACGGCTATATATATTATCTGTCATTATCATAAATTATCTTGTTCTTATTTCCAAAGTCCACTTTTTGTAACATCCAAAATAAAACTAAGTGCTATTATTTCTAAACAACAGAATATAAATAAATAAAAACAGTAAAGGAAAAATGATCTCCACTCTCCACTACTCTTGTTATCTACAACAAGGGTATATAAGTTATATATGGAATAGCAATAGGCATTTTGATACACCCTTCAAAGAGAGAAACCTCAAGATGCCGAGAAAAAAAGTCCGCCAAATCCCTACTGTAAAAAGGAGAGAGAGCTTATAACTGTGAGCCGGCCAATCATGGGATATCCACAGATTATTGGACGGTCAGGATCTGCCCTTCGTCCACCATCCGATGGTCCTCATCTCTCTACACAGAGTACTAAAGATCTCATCTCTGTGGTATCACAGGAACGGCCTCTTTATCTACAAACACGTGAACACTTCACTATTCTTTCTCCATTAAATTACCTAAAACCAGAGTAAAAATGGAGAAAAAATGCAAAAAAGAAAAGAAAAAAATGAAGCAGAAGATGAGGTTTAAAGGGATCGATCACTTAGGAGATTGAGACACGCATTGCTCGATCGAGGAAGCAAGACATGGCACTCTGTAACAGAGCTCGTCCGTTTACAAGAAGTGTAAATGTCCACGAAACTCAGCCTGAAACTGGAAGATTTACAGACTTTTCGGCTGTTTTTCCACAAACTTTCAGCCCTTTGATCCTTTGAGCACTCGATCAGAGCAGTTAAAAATGGATCTCCATCCTTCTCCTGAGGCTTCTTCTTCGACGATGAAATGCTCGAAACTGGAGGTGGAGGAAGAGCCTGATCTGAAACACTGAAGTTCTTTGCTCCAGTTTTGACTGCAGATTCTCTCTCTCTAAGGAGCAATTCAGGAGAGAGAATGGCTTGTTTAGGGATGCCTGGTTGTTGTTCCCATGAGAATGGGATTTTTGAGGCTGAATTTAATGGAAATTGGAGAGGACTGGTAGGAGAGAGAGGGTAACTGAGAGACGAAGAGCTTGAACTAAAAGAGGAAGAAGAGAGAGAAGAACAAAAGGACCTAGTTCGACGAGAAGACAGAACTCGAGCTGCCGTAATTACGTCGGCCGGTGCTGTTTCCGGTTCGTTTCCGGTGATAGTTTGGGTTTTCGGATCATGTGAGGCTGAGGAATTCATAGAGAGAGAAAGGGAGAGCGACTGAGTGTGAGAGATTCTTTTGCGCCAAGCTTTGGAGAGGGAAAGATCAAGGTAAATGAGGTAGGGTTGGGCGTTGATTGGGGATTATATAATGCAAATAGGAGAAAATGACTAAAAAGGATACCGGGATTTGCCAAATGACAAAGTAGGCCTCGTTTTTGGTTTTTTGGCCACCTACGGGAAATGTTTCCGCTCACTTTGCTGTCGGCTCATATTCAGTGTGGTGTTTATTTTGTTTCATCTACTTCATCTCTTAAACAGAAAAGTGAAAAAAGAAAAAGAAAAAGAAAAAGAAAAAGCATTTGGTTGACGTTCCCACCAAATAATCGGTTGAAGCAGGGTTCAAAAAATTGACTCGCGATTTACTTGGGCGAGTCCGACTAACTCGCCCAAGTCAAATGCATTTTATTTTATTTTTTTTAAAAAATATATAATATATATATTTAGTATAAAACTAATTGCGTGTTGGTTATGACGTGGGACATTGGGAGCCTCTCTAATAGAAATCGCTGGTTCGATTCCTGTGCCAAGATTCCAACCTGAATGTACAAAACTTGCAGAAACAGTAACCAAATCGACTAGACAACTGATGTGATAAATATAAATTTAAATTATAAAATTGTTGTACAACCAGCCTTGCTAGAAGGAGGTCGAGTTACTTGGCTTCGCTCTACTAAAACCATGGGTTGAAGCATTAGGAAGAAATTGAGTTGCAAAAAAGCTCTCATATAAGGATGGCAATGGGTTGGAACTAGGCGGAGCCAAGCCCTAGTCTAAGCTTGGCCCGGTCCTTCAGGCTAGGGCGGATGTCGGCCCTATAAGCCATGGCAGGGCCTAGCCAAAAACAAATGAATAAAAATTAAAAACCAAACAAGAAAAAAAAAAGGGTTAGGCTTGCACTGGCCCAAGCCCGGCCCTTGGGCGTCAGTACATAGCCCAGGCCTACCATAGGGCTGGCCTGGGCTGCTTGGCTCATTGCCAGGCCTATTGTAATATTTAGTTCTCAAACAAAAATACGGTTCAAAGTGAGTCGCCAAGGGCTTAGATTCACCATATCTCGATCAGGTGATTCTCCATTGGGAGCGGTGTACAAATACAAAACACAAATATCTAAGAAAAGAAAAAATTGGGTAATTAAGGCATTTTTCTAGACCGCAATGGCTTCCTATTCCACAAGTTCGGATTCAAACTCTGCTATTATGGTTGGAACATGTGATTTTCTAACCAATAGTTAAACATATGACTAAAAATGTAAAGTATGAGACCATTTGTTTTGACCCAGAGGTTTGAAATTGGGTGGTTAAGGATGTGTTGTTCGAATACAAAGTCTAAAATAAAATTTTTTGAGTGTTGTGATGCACTTTCGTCAATTGAATTTCACATCCAATGATTAAAAGTGATTGAAACCTCCCTATACAAAAAGTAAAGGTCTCATAGTGTACAATCCTTATTGTCATTGTGAACATGTAAATTTTAAAACATTGATTAAACATATTATTATGGGTTATGTTAGGGTGTTTACATTATAGAATTTTATAATTGTACTCAACAAATTTATGACACTTATATATTTTTGTTTTGTAACACAATATTTTTTTTAATGAAGGTAGTTTTGATCATTAGAAGGGTGTGACATCATCAATATAAGGTGTGACATCACCTACATAGATCATTAAATGCCACTAATGTGCTCCATATGGATGATGTCACACCCTCCTAATAACCAAAAAATACGATTACAAAAAAGAGACCAGGTTTCTATGCAAGCAACCCCGCAAATATAAAAATGCGAGCCTCGTAATAAATCTATTTTTGAGATAGATTTTAAGACTTAATTTTTAAGGACATGTAATCTCTAACATGGAGATCATAAATATAAAAAAGTAAATAAATTTTTAAAATTAGAAATAATAATTCTAGTAAGAAAACATTTGGACCGTTAGTTTCTATTGTTTATAGATGGAACACCTACTTACATCCATCTTTAAGATGAATGCTTTACACTTTCTGGAGCCCTCATGAAAAAATTTCTACTAAAAAATGCTCAATATACAAAGCAAGGGTATATAAGTATTTAAAACTTGTTGAGTACAATTATAAAATACTATATATGAGCAGTCTAACATAACCCTATTACTATAGCGACAAAACGAAAGCATGCCTGATAGAATTATTCATTATTTTCACCAATTATTTCTTTGAAACACTGGGCCTTGTTTAAGATATTACACGTAGTGTAGTATATCGCACTTTTGCCGGTTATTACAGCGTTTAGAGGTACATAACAAGAATGGCCAAAAATTAGGGAAAGCTTTCTATGTTCCCCTTGCAATATAGAAGTTCTATTCTCCTCGTACCATCCAGCCGTCCATTTTTTATCAAGAGACCCACTCACCGTTTGATCTTAGATCCGACGTTTCAAAGTATTTTATTTTTAGTTTTTTTAATAAAAAATTTATGGATATGAAATTTTTTATGTGTCATCTTCTCATTGGGCCGCACCTATAAAAAATATTAATTTTTTGATAAAACATAATGACCAAAATACCCCTTTAATTTTTAGGGGCATTTTGGTCATTTTATTTTATTAAAATATTTTTTTTATATTTTTCATTAGTGCGAGTTAAATAGAGGAACGGACATCGAAAATTTAGTGTTAAAATATTTTATAAAAAAAAAATTAAAAATAAAACAGTGTAGAGATGTGATATTGTGATTGGCGCAATTTTAGCCCACCATTAAAAAATGGACGGTTGGATAAAACGGAAGGATTGAACTTTTACGTGGTAGGAAGAACTTAGAAAGCTGTCCTTGAAAAATAACAATAGTTTCGGATCTGGTACATTGGCCTTTTTTTAAAGGTAGAAATCCACCGTTCGCTTGAGGAACAAAGGGTGGATGACTCGATGTCACTAATAGCTTTAGGCTTGAGGTACTTTTGTTATTGGGCAAGTTCTTATGCATTACAGGCCCCCACCTCATCACCTAGTTGCTCGATTAGGCCTTTCACAAGACCCCCTCATAACTCCACTATTTGTGCACACCTCTCTCTCTCTAGATCTCTCTCTTTCTAAGGTTGTGAAGTTATAGTAAATATAGAATATAATAAGTTGTACATATAGAATATAATAATAAGAGATAATTAATATTCCCATGTTCATCCCACATGAGTGCATTGCACGAAATAGCAAAAAGAGAAAAATAATTGTTTTTAGATTTTTTATTACAATGAAATGGGTCATGGATGAAAAGATGTTTACAAGAATGCGGGAGTGAAAAATAAATTAATGGAAAGCCAACGCGTAAGGACATGTTTTCATGATGAAGCTTTTCTCTCACTATTTTTGAAATGACCAATGGTCGATTTAGGTGTTAGAAGTGGTATGATTGAAAAGAAGGGGGCTGTATACCTTAAAAGGAAAAAAATTATATATAGCCGAGGCTCTAAACAATTATATTGAGCTCAACTCAAAACTTTCACCATTGTTTTAATGCTCAAATATCTTCAAATTGATCATTTTGACATCAAGATGCATGAAACGTAAAAAAAAAAAAAAAAAAGATTTTAAGTTTAAAAATAGTGCATCTTGTAGCAGATCTTTGAGCCGTCAATTTTCAAGATTTTCTAATTTCCATAGATATGCTCCATCTACACTTTTTTTTAAGCTTTAAATTTTATAATTAAAGATGAAAATATATTTTAAAGCAATCACAAATATTTCTAGTATTGAGACCACATTTCTCGACACAATTTAAAGGTGCATTTTACTTTGATTTTTTGAGAGCTTCAGCTCTATACAAACCGCACCCTACTCTAAAGCGGTTTATTTTTTATATAAAAAAGTCACAATCACTCATAGCCCATTAAATGTGAAATCAAAATATCATAAATGTACCGATGAAAATTTCGTTAGATTTTAAGTAGGGTCTTTTAACTAAGGTGGCAATGGGCCTGAGCCTTGCCAGCACTTGACCCCTTAGGGAAGGCCTACGTCCATATGCGGCCCGGACCCAAACCCATGCCCGGCCCTGGCCCTCAATTGTAAACTAACATGATTATGATCATTCTGCACAAAAATTAAGCAACCTCTTTTATATACTTTTCCTAAAGAAACCTAGGGTTGTCCATGCAATACATAGTAGTAGGTCGTGCTCTCTTTGGTCGTATTGTACTCTCGTCTTCCTTTTTCTATTGTTTATCATTTAGGGAAACCTAGAGTTGTTGCTTTTTCAAGCAAGATAATTGACAGTCCCATTGATCGTTTTACTCTTACCAAGTTGAAGCTAGGGGAATCTGTAGCATGAGTGCTTGTGCTTTGACTTGCGAAAGAAATTATTTAAATTCTCACTAGCATTAAAAAGATTCAAGAAATTCGCCAATAAAAACACCCCTACAACAAATTTAGAAATTTGTAATTCTGCACTATTTAGGGTTTATATATGGGTGCGGTTAGGAGAAGAGTCCTAGTATCAATTCGTACCAAAGGTAGGGGCCCTCTCCTCACTTACCCAAAAAAAATATGGGTGCGGTTTGTTCAAGGCATAGGTCCTAAATAATCAAAGCAAAGTGCATTCTCAAATAGTGTTGAAAGCTGCCGTTGCAGTAACAAAAATATTTATGATGACTTAAACATTTGCTTTTATCTCTAATTATAAAGTTTAAAGCTTCAAATATCGTGTAGATCAAGGAGACCCATCAACACTTGAAAATCTTGAAAATTGACGGTTCTGATAATTTATTACAAGATTAACTATTCCATGACTTGAAGTCCATTTTTCTTTGTCCATGCATCTCAAGGTCGAGATGATCGGACGTGAGGATTTTTCAACATGTTAAAACCATTTTCT